ACAGAATACGTTGTATTTTTTTTAATGGAATATTGCTTTTGTCTCCCAGGCTTACAGTACAGTAGAGCTCACTGTAGTATTGAACTCCTGGGTTCAAGCAATCCTCCCATCTTAGCCTCCTGAGTAGTTGGGTCTACAAGCATATGCCACCATACTCGGCTTTTTTTTTTTTTTTTTTTTTGGTAGATACCAAGTCTCGCTCTGTTGACCAGGTTGGTCTCGAACTTTTTTTCTCAAGCTATTCCCTTGCCTATGCCTCCCAAATTACTGGGATTATAGGCGTAAGCCACTGTGCTGTCCTATTTTCGTTTTTGTGGGGAGGAGTATCTATTGGATGGTATGGTGAACATAGTTAATAGTGTGTTGTGTATATATATTTTTTTCCTTTTTTTTGAGACAGTCTCTGTTGCCCAGGCTGGAGTGTAGTAGTGAGATCTCGGCTCACTACAACCTTTGCCTCCTGGGTTCAAACAATTCTCTGCCTCAGCCTCCAGAGTAGCTGGGATTATAGGCACCTGACACTATGCCCAGCTAATTTTTGTATTTTTAGTACAGACGGGGTTTCACCATCTTGGCCAGGCTCATCTTGAACTCCTGACCTCATGATCCTCCCACCTGGGCTTCCCAAAGTGCTGGGATTACAGGCATGAAGCACCTCGCCTGGGCCATATATTTCAAAATTTCAAGTGTGCTTATCACAAAAATATTTGAGGTGATATGTTAATTACCTTGATTTAATTACTGCATATTGTGTTCAGAGATAATATCACTTTGCCCCTCTTAAATATATACAACTAAGGTTTGTCAATTTACTAAAAGAGTTTTAAAATCAAATAAAATGGGCTGGGCCCGGCAGCTCATGCCTATAATCCCAGCATTTAGGGAGGCTGAGTCGGGTGGATCACTTGAGATCAGGAGTTCAAGACCAGCTTGGCCAACACGGCGAAACCCCATCTCTATAAAAATAAAATAAAATTAGCTGGGCACGGTGGTGGGTGCCTATAATCCCAGCACTAGGGAGGCTGAGGCAGGAGAATTGCTTGAACCTGGGAGGTGGAAGTTGCTGTGAGCCAAGATCGAACCACTGCACTGCAGCCTGGGTGACAGAGTAACACTGTCTCAAAAAATAATAAAAATAAAATTCGAGGGGTGGGCAAAACAGCAACAATGAAATACAGGTTCACACCACGGCTCTGCAAATCCCAACTTGGATGACCAAGTCAAATTATTTAGACTAACTTAGCTTTTGTTGCCTCCTTTTAAAATAAAGCATTTTGTCTGAATGGTCTCACTTCAAAAGTTCTAAGATAGCCGGGCACAGTGGCTCATGCCTGTAATCCCAGCATTTTGGGAGGCTGAGGCAGATGGATTACCTGAGGTCAGGCATTTGAGACCACCCTGACCAATATGATAAAACTCCGTCCTACTAAAAATACAAAAATTATCTGGGTGTGGTTGCATGAGCCTGTAATCCTAGCTACTCAGAAGGCTAAGACAGAAGAATTGCTTGAGCCTGGGAGGTGGAGGTTGCAAGGGAGCTGAGATCCAACCATTGCACTCCAGCCTGGTTAACAAGAGCGAAATTCTGTCTCAAAAAAAAGAAAAGTTCTAAGATTGTTTTGAGCAGAACTTGTGAGGTAGACTAACATTTTCAGCTATGGTCACCCTAGGTGTACTTATTTAAGTAAGAGTCTGGAGGAGTGAGAGTTTGGGGCTATGGCAGTAAAGGAAAGATGAGCCAGGTTCTTTGCATCAACTCTGTAATCCTCATTGTATTTCCCTCTACATTAGGTATTCTAAAACCTTTTTGACAATTTAGCATATGGAAGTGGTCATTTGAACTGCATCCAGGGTCAAATTAGCAACAAATGACAGTTTGGGAGCCAAAGATTTTTTTCCCACTGCCTGAATATTGTTGGCATTTAGTAGTTCCTGTCTGGTTCTAAATGATGGTTTTACCTCAGATTTTACAAACAGTAGCCTCTTTGTCCTTTTTCATGGATGCTATAAAAAATAGCAAATTTAATTATGAGGAAAGGAGAAAAAAGCTGCATAGCATAAAAGGGGGAAGATTCCGGTAATGGGCTGTCCTCCCACAGAAGCCTTTCCTGAAGAGGTTCTTCCTGATATATCAGTTAAGTGTCCTTAACACTTTCTCCCCAAAACTGAGCCTGGAGATATCTACTCTAAAATCAGGCCGGGCATGGTAGCTCACACCTGTAATCCCAGCACTTTGGGAGGCCGAGGCAGGGCAGGTGGATCACCTAAGGTTAGGACTTCGAGACCAGCCTGGCCAACCTGGTGAAACCCTGTCTCTACAAAAATAGCAGCTCTTTGCTACAAAAATTAGTGGGCCATGATGGCACATACCTGTATTCCCAGCTACTCAGGAGGCTGAGACAGAAGAATCGCTTGAACCCTGGAGGTGGAGGTTGCAGTGAGTCAAGATCGTGCCACCACACTCCAGCCTGGGCGACACAGCAAGACTATCTCAAAAAACAGAAATAAATAAAATGGTTAAAGTCCCATGTTGCACCTTTGTGTAAATCCTTACCATTTAGGAAAATCAAATGTTTTAGGGATGACATAATACTGGAAATCCTCCTTGAAAGTGTATAAAAGAAAAGGAATATAGTAAGTTTCTTTGGTTTTTGGGCCAATTCTTTTTTTTTTTTTTTTTTTT